GGCCTAGGAATCTTGGCCCTTCTATGCTGGTGCCCGGCAGAATCGGGGGTGAAAGCCCTTTGGACATGCACATGTGAGCTTATTTTAGGGAGAGGCAAGAGGGCAGAGAGAGAAAGGGCCTGAGGGGGCGTGAGGCTGGAGCAGGCGGCAGCTGTGAAGTGCCCATAGTGAACGCCGCTCCCAGGCCTGTGCGGGCATCGCCTCCCCGAGGGCTCAGCATGCCCCCTGCGAAGTTGGGATTATACTCCTGCTTTAGCTGCACAGCTGTAGGCAGCAGAGCCCACATTCTCACCCAGGCCAGGGAGTCTCTGACCCGGACCTTGGCTCACTCTGCTGCTCTGGCTCACTCGGGACTGGAAGGGACACCAGGGACTTACAGCCCAACATGGAGACTGACGAGGTCTGGTCGGGGTAGCTGTCGGATAGGGACTTCTCCGGCTTCTCCTAGGGCAAGAGACGGTAGGCAGTGGGGCTGCAGGACACCCCGGCCAGCGGCTGAGCTCCGGAAGGCCAGCAGGCAATGGGGCCTTCAGTGACTGTTCCCTTAAGCTGGGAGCTGCTCAGAGGTCCCAGGTTAGGGCTGGGTAGGGACATGCAGAGGCTAAGATTGGACAGGAGGGGGAGTGGCCAGCCTAGAGAGGCATGCTGCTGTGAGCAAGGCAGGGTTCAAGAGGCTGCATGGGCCCTGGCTGGTTTTGCTCAGTGGTTAGAGTGTCAGTCTGTGGACTACAGGATCTTGGGTTCAATTCCAGTCAAGGGCATGTACCTAGGTTGCAGGCTCCATCCCAGGCCCTCGGGGCATGTGCGGGAGGCAGCCACTTGATGTGTTTCTCTCACATTGATGTTTCTCTCTCTGTCTCTCCCCTTCCCTCCCACTCTCTAAAAATCAATGCAAAAAAATATCCTCAGGTGAGGATTAACAACAACAATAAAAAAAGGTTGCGTGGGCCTCAGTTTCCCCATCTGCAACATGCCAGCCAGGCTCAGTACAAGTGTTTAGAAAGGAATCAGAGAATTAAGAAAACTCTGGCCTGAGTGGCCAGTGCACACATCAGCATGCATGAAGGTGAGTGTGGGCAAGGTTTGAGGAGGCCTCTCCATGAGGGGCCCATGACCTCCTGTGCACTCCCTCCGGGGGTCCCCTGACTGGTACCATCCGCATCTCACAGCAGCAGGTCCCCAGCCTAAGTGACACAGCTGAGTGGGGCAGAGCCGGGCCTGCGGTGCACTTCACCAGACCTCAAGGGCTCCGGGTCCTGCTTGTTGGCCTACTCACCTCCTTCTTGGCATCCACGGCCTCTTCTGGGCGTTCTGGCTCTTCCTGCAGGATCAGGGACGTGGAGTCCAGCTGCGGTTTGGTCTCCCACAAAACCCGTTCCTCCTTCCACGAAAGCTGCAGGGCCTCGGCCTTCTGGCGCTCCAGTTCTTGCTTATAGAGCTGCCTGCCCAGCCAGGGCCCCAGAGCACAGGGTAAGTCTCCCTGCCCCACCCACCATCCCCAGGACTGGACAATGGCTTGAGGAGGCAGCCAAGGCCAGAGGAGCCTTGAGCCCAGCCATTCCCACTCCTGGCCTGTGGCTCCTGCTCGAGGAGCTTACCCCATGATGCCTTGAGAGATGTTATCCTTCATCCTGCTCTCTACCACCCGACTCAGCTGCATCTTGGCCAGGAGGCCCACCTGGCTGCCAAGCACCTCCTCCGCTGACATCCCCGGGAAGAGGTGGGTTATCAGCGAGAGCAGCTGCAGGAAAGGGGTGACCAGAGCGAGGTGTGGGCCAGGGCAGGGGCCGGTGGTATGATGCTGCCCTGCCCTTGCAAAGTCCCTTTGCAGGACTGAAGAGGGGAGAAGTTACAAATTGTTGTCTTTAAAGGCCTGTTTTGCCCCAGAACTGTGAGGAGACCATGAAAAAGGAACTATTGAGAGAGGAAACACTGATGGGGTGCGTCTAGCCGAGGGCTCTGGAGCCAGACAGATCAGGGTCTAAGCTCTAAGCTGTGTGACCTAGGACAAGAGGACTGGCTTCTCTGAACCTTACCCTCTTGGTCTATAAATTGGCGGGTGATAACGTTGCCTGTCTCCTAGGGGCTGAAGAGGGTTAGAGTGATTCAAGCTGAAGGGGTTAGAACAGTGCCTGGCACACAGTAAATGCTCTGGCATTAGCAGCTTATAAGAGTTGCTAGGAAACCACATTTCTTTTCAGGACAGGGAGAATCGTTAGGAGGCCAGGAATATTGACTCTGCAGTCGCCCTCCCGGCCACCAGGAGGAACCCACCTTCGGTTGCTTAGGGTCAAGGATCAGGGCAGTTGCAACGTCCTGGCGGGCCCCAAAAATGTTCTGTATGAACTGCCGGCTTCTGGCGCGGTGCAGGTAGTACTGAGCCATCTGGGGATTGTGCTGGATGGCCAGTGTGAAGTGGCTCTCTGCCTTCTGGAATTGTCTACAAAATAGCGGCCACAGGCTGCAGTGAGCGAAGCCATCTCGGTGGGAAATAGCAGCTTCCGGCCCCACGGAGGAGTGTGGGGAAAACCAGGCTGGTATCTGCTCCCCGCCACCATGCCCCACCACTCTCCTACCAGCTACGCTCTTGATGGACCCAACACTCAAATGCTAGTATACAACCCCAACATTAAGTAGACGCTCTTTTTATCTTAGATTAGGGAAGTCCTTTCTGAGAATGTCAGCTAAAAGTAAAAAAAAGTTAATTTGACTGTGATTAAATCCTAAGTTACTGAGTAGCAAAAACACCTCAAAGCAGCCCTGGCTGGGTAGCTCAGTTGGTTAGCACATCGTCTTGCTATATCAAGATTGCTGGTTCAATCCCTGATCCGGGCACATACAAGAATCAACCAATGAATGCATAAATGAGTGGGACAACAAATCAATGTTACTCTCTCAAATCAATAAATTAAGCGTGCGCGCGCACACACACACACACACACACACACAAGCCAGGACCACCACAAAGGAAAGCAATAAATAGCATATATATTTTGCTACATAAGGCAGATGATAAGTTAATTTTCCTAACCTACACAATAACTCTTTTTAAATGTTTTTTTTAAATTAATTTATTGGCACAAGAGACCCTTTAACAAAAAAATTTTTTAATGAGCAATTTAGTAGGTAAATGGGCAAAAGATTTGGGCAGGCCATAATGACCAATAAACACATAGAAGATGCTGTGCAACTGCGCTAGCGACTTAAACATGCAAGATCAAGTGCAAAAGAGTTTGTTGTTTTTTGCCTATTAGGTTAGCAGAGTTGAAAAATAGTCTTACTACCTCACACTAGGGAGGTCTGGGAAACCACGACTCTTTTCCTGGAGAAAAGTTTATATTAGTTCACTGTTTTTGGAGAACATTTGGACATTATTTAAAATGCTAAATTTTCACACTCTTACCAAACAATTTAACTTCCAGCAATCTAACTATAGTGTTCCTGGTATGAGTGCATGAAAACATATGTGTGGTGCTCATTACTGCATTATTTATAGTAAAAAAACTAAAAGCAGCCGAAACCGGTTTGGCTTGGTGGATAGAGCGTCGGCCTGTGGACTGAAAGGTCCCAGGTTCGATTCCGGTCAAGGGCATGTACCTTGGTTGCGGGCATATCCCCAGTAGGAGATGTGCAGGAGGCAGCTGATCGATGTTTCTCTCTCATCAATGTTTCTAACTCTCTACCTCTCTCCCTTCCTCTCTGTAAAAAATCAATATATTAAAAAAAAACCTGAAAGCAGCCTAAATGTTCAGCAGCAGTGTAGTAGCTAAATAAATAAAAGGCGATCCTCTATGGTTCCTCCACAGAATGGAGCCCTAGGCAAGCAGGAGCAAGAGAATGAGATGGTCCCATAGTAATGCCATGGGAAGTAAAAAAGCACAATTTAGCATGAAAACACTTCTGTAAAATGATCATAACTGTTAATGCATGCATAGGAAACAATCTGGAGGAATCTTGGCCAAACTTATGGGGGTGGGGAGGCATGGGGAGGTAGATATTATAAGGAACTTCCATGTTCTGAGTTATAAATCATCAAACCCTTGTTTTTTATAAAAAGCACCATTACCATAATATTTAGAAAACAGTGAGGGATTTTTTGCAAAAACGTGGACATTAAAACCTATATTTAGGGGACATCACTGGGAGAACTTTTTGACCCAGGGATTCCAGCTGGTGACTTCAGGCCCCTGGCCCCGCCCCCGGCGCACCTGCTCCTGTGCTCGCAGCAGCCCATCTTCTCCTGCAGCAGGCTCATGCGCAGGTTGGCGCCCTCGTCCGACGGGCTCAGCGCCAGCGCCTCCTGGTAGTCCGCCTCAGCGAAGTTCAGGTAGCCCAACTGGAAGAAGCAATCTGGGGGCCCCCCACCCCAGTGTCCAGGAGCCTAGCTCAGCCTTCTCCACCCCCAGAGGGCGGGGCCTGAAACCGGGGGCTGGTCCACCTCTCCCAGCTGCCTGATGACTGAGCAGGCCGTAGGCTGTAGCCAGTTTCTTGAAGGCAGTGTTTCCCCACGTGTGTCCGTGGGACACTGAGACTCTTAACCGTTTCCTCGTTCCCTCCTCCCTTCCTCCCTCCCTCCCGGGGGGCCTCAGGCGCCCGGCCGCTGCCCCCCTCACCGCCGCGGTTGATGTAGAGGCCTTTCTCCCGCTGCTCGTCCTTGAGGACCTTGTTGAGCAGCAGCACGCCCTCCTGGTAGGCGCCCTGCGTGTAGCAGTGCAGGGCGAAGTCGTTGTAGGCCAGCAGGAGCTGGCGCTGCGCCTGCCGCACCATGTCCTCCTGGTGCTCGCTCATCATGTCCAGCGCCTTCAGGAAGTCCTCCACCGCCGCGTCAAAATCCCGGAGCCGGCGGTACATGGTGCCCCTGCGGGGAAGGGACATGAGGGCAGAGCAGGGCGCTGACGGTGGCGGGGCAAGCGGCTGCTGCTCTGGGCTTTTTGCCCCGTGGAGGTGGCGGTGGCGGCTCCCCCAACCCTCCGGAGGTTTGGCCTATGGGTCATGGATGGCTACTCAGGTAACCTGCTAGTCACTAGTCATTTTTTCTCAAAAGCAGCTTCCCTCTCTCTTTTGGGGAGCCAAGGGCACGCCAGCCTCTGCTCAGGCTGTACATGCACAGGTGTTTCACCTCCACTGCTCACGTGGGAAAACCGGGGCTCAAGGAAGTTAAATGGTCCTGAATCCTGTGGTGAGTCCTTGTTGGGGTCAGAGTCACACCCAAGCCTTGTCCACTGAGCCAGGCTGATTCTCCCAGCATGACCTGCACAGCAGGCCTGGGGGCCAGGATTCCTGCTAAACGGAGGCTGCTGCCTGCGGAGACCACCTCCCATGCTGCCTTGATCCCAATGGGGAGTAGGGAGAGATTAATATCAGTTATATGGGGAACTGAGGCCTACACAGATTCAAGAGCTCTCCTGGGACCACACAGCTGGTCCTTACTCTGGCACCCCCCCGCCCCAGTACCTGAAGAGGAAGAAGCTGGGGTCCAGAGGGTTGTTATCGATGGCACAGTTCACACACTGCACTGCATGCTGCAGCTTGCCCTGCACGGCTAGGATCCTGGCATCGCGGTATGACTTCTGGGACTGCTCTACCATCGTCTTGAGCAGCACCTTTGCCTGTGTGTGCTTGGGATCCAATACCAAGGCGTTGTGCAGGTCTTGATAGCAGAGGTGGGGCTGCAGGGGCCAGGGGTAGCATCAGGGGCACAGCCAAACTGAGCCTTACCCTGTCCGGTGGGGGGAGGCCGACCTCCTGGCTATCGGGGCCTTTCTCAGGGTAGGCTGGCACCATGCCACCCATCCTCACTGCCCCCGCTTTGCTGTTCCATCTTGAAGGAGGCAGGGAACCTTGTGGGAAAATCTCATCCCTACTGGCCCCTCCAGATGTGCCCTCAGGTGAGCGAGGGTCGCCCTTGCTGGATCCTGCCATGGAAGGGGATTTGGAGGACAGCCTTCCTTGGAGGACTTCTGTGAAACTCACTTGAGGTGGGAGGAGGGTGTGGCCTCCTGATTGTGACTCTTGTGCCTTCTTATCCTTTCCTCCCTGGCTCCCTTGACCTTTAAGCCCAACAGAACTCTGGCCAAGAACAGATTCAGGCCTGGGCATGAGCAGAAAACATTCCCAGGCAAATACCTTCTACCGGATGAGCATGTCTGTCCGTCAGTCAACACAGTTTTGGGAGGCACCCCATGTCCTATAGGTAACTGGTGGAAGGGTGAGCAGAGCAAACAGTGGACACCAGGAAGTCGAGAGGGGAAAGATGGGAAGGACTTCCAAGTCGCCGACTTGGGTTTAAGGGCATAGCTACTGAGAACTGGCTGTGTGACCCTGAGCAAGTCACCCAGCCCCTCTGGACCTGTATCTTCACCTGTAAAAAGAGGACAAGGGGGTGGCATCTACTGAAACAGTTATTGTGAGCCTTTAAGATAAACATGAGTGGGTACTGGCGGGGTAGCTCAGTTGGTCAGAGCACAGTCCCGAGATGCCAAGCTTGTGGGTTTGATCCCGTCAGGGCACAGACAAGAAACAACCAATGAATACATAAATAGGTGGACCAACAAATCTCTCTCTCTCTCTCTCTCTCTCTCGAAAATAAATTTTTAAAAAAGATAAAAATGAGTTAAATGCTTAGCATGTGCATTGCAAGGGCTAAAGTGGTGGGAGCGGCTAAAATCCCAACAGTCAACAATCATTACCAGTAATTGCTAGTCTCCTACCTTTGAAGGGGACTCTCCCACTGACTCACTGTTGATCACAGAAGCCACAGTACAGGGAGGCTCACATTTCCCACCACCCCCAGGATGCCCCACCCACCCCCTGAGTGTCCCAGCTCACAGGCACCAGGCCAAGCCAGAACACCGGCCATTGTTCTGGATCCTTCCTTCCCTCTTGCACTCCCCCAGTCTCTGGTCCTGACTTCCAAGGATGGTGGAACTGCTGCCTACTTGCCCATCCTTCCCCCGGCCCCCTTCTCTTCTGCTGGATGGCACCTAGCCTCTTCTCCAGGCCCCTGGTCTCCTGACTTGCCCCCTGCAGCCCACACTCACTCTGGCAGCCAGAAGGATCTTTCTAAAGCCCACTGCCCCAGGAACACCCTTTTGAGGTTCCTATTGTCCCCCATAAGAAGTCAAGGTCGTCCTGAGTTCAAAAGGCCCTGCCTGATACCCTCACATACCTAAATTCCCCTCCCTTGTGACTCGTCTCCCTGGCCCCTAAGTTGTCTCCTGTACTGTCTGTCCCCATGCCCAGCCTGTGGAGTGCAGCAGCTGGGGTGCTTAGAAAATGTTTACTGAGACAAATAAGGAAAGCAAGGAAGGGAGGAGGAAGGGCCTCTTTATCTAGTGGATCTCTGATGGTTTCATAGGCTCACGAAGTCATTCTTCACCTAATTATCTGCTTAGGGATGTCTCTCTGGGCTGTGAGTTCTGTGATGGCGGTGATGGCATAAGTCTTATCTTGTGGTTTCCGGGGGCCAATCCAGGCCTGGCACAGAGCCAGGGCTTAGTAACAATGGTACAGTACTTGACTGGGCATCTGCCCAGAGAGGACCATATCCTCTCTGCACGGAGGGGATGTGGCTGCTGGCTGCTGGCAGCCTCCTATAATCTTGGGATGTGCTGGGGGAAGGGCCACCCCCTCCCCACCCTCCCTGTTTTACCTTCCCCATGGAGTTATAGAGCCTGGCTCGGAGGATGTAGATGTCAGCGTTAGTTGCGTCATGCTCCACCTCCTTGGTGACAAGTGAGAGGCAGTCCTGATATCGTCTGAGCGCCAGGAGACAGGCCATGCTGAGGGCAGAGGGCAGAGGTGCTGTCTACCAGAGAAGCGATTTCCAACCCTTCCCAGCTCATGGCACACATAAACTAATGACCAAAACTCTGCAGCACACCAAACAATATATTTTGATTTGTTCTCACTGGAAGGCTATTATTTTGTTTTTAATATATTTTTATTTTTTATTTCAGAGAGGAAGGGAGAGGGAGATAGAAACATCAATGAGGAGAGAGAATTATTGATTGGCTGCCTCCTGTACACCCCATACTGGGGACGAAGCCTGCAACCCAGGCATGTGCCCTGACCTGGAATCCAACCGTGACCTCCTGGTTCATAGGTTGACACTCAACTACTGAGCCACGCCAGCCAGGCTGGAAGGCTATTTTTGTGTTGGCTGTTGTCATTTTTTAAATTTGACAACCTAAGGGAAAAGAGGTCAGTGCTCCTGACTAAATACTCAGGTATTGCATGGTTTAGATTCTTGCGGCACACCGGCTGAAAATCGCTGTGCTAGAGGCCCAGGAAGGGGCTCCTGGAGAACCAGGGCTGGCAAGGACACAAATGGGCCACTCACCACTCACCATCGGTAACGGAAGCTGGGTTTCTCAGGCTGGAGCTCGAAGGCTTGCGAGAAGACATTCAGGGCATCCGCAAAAGCACACTGTTCAAACAGGCACTGGCCCTGGGGACACGAGGGACAGTCCCTTCTGCGTGCGTCCCCAGCCCAGCAGCACTCATGAGAGGGGCGGGCCACATTGGGGTGGGAGAGAAGAGAGGCAAGAAAGAGGCTCAGAGCTCTCTAGATCTGGAGAGCCTTTAAGAGTCAGAGACACAGAGATGGAAAGAGATACAGAGCTAGGGAGAGAGCCAGCACTACAGACACAGGAACAAAGAGAAACAGAGAAAGCATGGGAGGTGAGCCAGAACAGCAGAGCCCACAGTAGCAGGCTCCAGCCTGGCCCAGGGCTCCAGGGGCCGAGCCCTGTGTTAAGAACCTGAACTCACAGTCTCACTGGTACTAACTAGCATCCCCCTTTCAGACGAAACAACGGAGGCTCAGAGCGGTGAAGTAACTTCCCCAAGGTGGCACAGGAAGTGTTAGTACTGGACTTGGGGCCCTAACAGAGAGATTAAGTATGTGGTTTGGATATCCCAGCTGTTTCAGGAATTGAATAACTACTTAAAAGATATCAAAGTTGTCAAAATGGAAAAAAATAAGACTTTGTTGGTATTTATGGTTTAATATTGGTGTGTTTTTTTAAAAAAAAATGCAAATGGGGCTGGTATTCCCTTTTAAGTGCTTAGAGTCTCTAGATTCTATGTCTGTACTGTCCAGTACTATAGCCACCAGCTTCATGTGGCTATATGAATTTAACTGAAAAGAAACACAACTTAAAAATTAGTTTCTCAGTCACAATTGCCACATGTCTAGGGCTCTACAGTTCCCCGTGGCCAATGGCTACCAGATTGTACAGTGCTGAGCAGGTCAGTCATTATTGCAGAAAGTTCTATTGGACGACGTTACTCAACTTGACCAGCCCTAGTGGGAAGCCCACTTGGGAGGTGGGAGAGGTCATGAGAGGGGCAGCAGGTGGGGAACAGACACACAGCCAAGGAACTCCCCGGGAAGTCAGAACTAGTCCCAGGAGCAAGGAGAGCCCCCCCCAGAGCTGGGGGGAGACCCAGGGGCCTGGGTGTGAGGTGTGCGGCCCCGGCACCTGCAGGTAAAGCACCAAGGTGAGGCGCTTCAGGAACTGGGTGTTCTCCGGCTGGAAGGAGTGGGCCCTCCGCAGGTTCTGGACAGCCGAGGAGTAGTCGCAGAGCTGGATGTAGGCTTCGGCTCTTAAGGCGTAGAACTCGACCTGAGGGAGAGGGGACTGAGTTACCAGCAGGGACTTGGTGGCCCTGAGACCAGGGACCTGGAAGGCATGACAGTGAGCGGGAAGTGTGTGCTACAGACTGGGTGGGTCCCCCAAAGCCCTCCCCCTCACCAGCTGGGGGTCCAGGTGGATGGCACGGGAGAAGAACACCACAGCTGTTTCCCAGTCTTCTCGCTCCAAGCACCAGTGGCCTCGGTGGTAGCTGTGGGGGCAAGGGGCACAGGTAGAGAGGTGGCCCTGACTTGGACTAGCCCAAGGGCATACAGCTGGGACTGTGCAAGTGGGTGGGAGGCACTTGGGTGGAGAGAACAGAAGAGTAGACAGAGATTCTTGGAGCTCCTCCAGGCCAGTAGCAGCCTTTGACTCACTGAGGCAGATGAGCCCTATTATACAGTTGAGTTCACTGGAGCCCAGGGAGGGAGAGTAACTGGCCCAAAGCTGCACAGCATGTCAATTACTGTGCAGAATAGAAACCAGGGACCTTGGGACAAGATAGTCACTCACTACTCCCTGACTTTGAGAGGAACTGTTATTTCAGAGAGTGTCGGTCTTATTTCATCAAAGCTGCGGAACGCCTGGCTGGTCCCGAAGATGCGCTGTATGGTCTCCTTTGGGAGTGGAGTCGCCCATGGCTTTAGCTCTGGCGAATCCTAGAACCAATGGACAGCAAGCTGGAGCAGGCCTCGCAGATGACCCCCACTCCACTTATACAGGCTTATCAGGTATTTTACAGGAGGGAGGAGAGGTGGGAATGAGGTCTGGTAGGAGGCACAGCCTGAGGTCTGGTGGCACCCCTGCCCCATTCCCCTGAGGGATGTTCTAACCCAGAGGTTCTCAACCTGTGGGTCACAACCCCTTTGGCGGTTGAACGACCCTTTCACAGGGGTCGCCTAAGACCATCCTGCAGATCAGATATTTACATTACGATTCATAACAGTGCTGTGGGGGCCAGGGGCACAGGCAGAGAGGTATAACTTCATATTACAGTTATGAAGTAGCAACGAAAATAATTTTATGGTTGGGTCACAACGTGAAGAACTGTATTTAAAGGGCCAGAAGGTTGAGAACCATAACCTCTCTCTCCAGTCCTGCCTCTCCCTTTCCTACGGTCAAGGCCAGGGTTTAGGATTCTCATACACTGTCCTCAGCTCTCCTCCTTGTACCCTCAGCACTCACCTCCAGCCACACCCCAAACCCTAACGCCTCCAGCTCAGGTACCCCCCTCCCCACTCCACCCCCGCCGGCCTGCAGCTCTAGCATATCCTGTGTGATCCTCGTGCCCAGCAGGACCAACTGAGCACTGCACCCGACTTCTGCTCTAGCTCTGCCGCCTCGGGAAGTCCACCTTCTCTGAAGCCAGAGCCCTATGTCCCATCATCAGTCCTCAAGTCCTGTCTGTCCCACTTCCTCACGACCTCTCAGTTCCCTCCTCTTCTCTGCCCTCTCCCTGGGCCCATGCCATCGCGGCCAGGACGCCAGCATCGGCCACCCCTCGGACCTTCCACCGGCCACACGTCCCAACTCCTGTTCCCCACACTGCGACCTGGCACTTTCTTGAACTGCACAACTGATCCTGCCTCTCCCGTCCTCTTTCCTGCGAACTCAGCCTTGGTCACTTCTCTCCCGACCCTCTGCCCTGGCGGTAGCCTTCTCCCGCACCTGCTTGGAGTCGGTCATGAGGTCCCTCCCTGGGTGACCTGTGGAACTGAGTTGGCTCCCTCTACGCCCTCCCTCGACGTTGCTAGGCACCATCTCCACGACGCCCACAGGCTCCGCCCCTCTGGCCACGCCTCCAGATTCCAAGGGCTGTTTGAGCCAGAAAAAGGGCAACAAACTTTTATTAGCGGGGGCGGCTGAGACGACAGCGAGGCGGGACCACAGCGGGGGCAGAACGAAGCTCCCTTCTCCGATCCGGAGACCGAGCAAGGGCTCTGCGAGGCCCACCACGCC